CTGGAACTTCCTCTGCTTCAGTTTGTGCCCGTCGCCCCTTGTCCTGTCGCTGGGCACCACTGGAAAGAGTCTGGCCCCGTCCTCCTGACCCCCACCCTGCAGATATTTAGAGGCATTTCTAAGGTCCCCTCTCAGCCTTCTCTTCTCCGGGCTGAACAAGCCCAGCTCCCTCAGCCTTTCCTTGTAGGAGAGATGCTCCAGTCCCCTCACCATCCTGGTAGCCCTCCGCTGGACTCTTTCCAGTAGCTCCTCATCTTTCTTGAACTGGGGAGCCCAGAACTGGACACAGCACTGCAGATGGGGCCTCACTGGGGCAGAGTAGAGGGGCAGGAGAACCTCCCTGGACCTGCTGGCCACACTCCTCTCGATGCACCCCAGGATGCCACTGGCCTTCTTGGCAACCAGGGCACGCTGCTGGCTCATGGTTGACCTGTCGTCCACCAGGAGGCCCAGGTCCCTCTCCACAGAGCTGCTCTGCAGCAGGTCCGCCCCAGCCTGTATTGGTGCCTGGGGTTGTTCCTCCTCAGGTGCAGGACCATGCCCTTGCCCTTGTATTTTTTTCCATAACCATGTTTGCACTGTGATTATTCTGTACAAACCACGGCAGCCACGTAGCAAGCAGCTCATGATGATGGGACCGGCGATGGTTTCCTCACCTGGATGGTTTTTTGGTGGTTTTTTTTCAAGCCACAAAGCCAGAGATGCTTCTCTTCCAGGGTTACACTCCCCAGATATAATCCTAGAAATCGCTTGCCAACTGCTCAGTTACACCTCAGCCTTGGTATTTTTCCCTGCAGTGAGACGGCTGCCCACGCACCGTGCCACAGCCTACAGCAATAATATATAAAGGAGAGGATGGATAATTTCTGACGATCGCTTTACTGCTCCGTACATAGGGTTCAGAGAAAGCAGCCGTTTTTCAGACCATTTTCCATCGTAGCCATCACTGAGACGTTTTTGCTAGCAAGTGCTAAATGGTGTAAATTTTCCACATTCCACTCTTCATACGCCACAGCTTTTAATTTTGCTTTTATTTCGTATTTTCATGGAAGCTTCGGTGGGACGAGGCCTCTTGCAGCTTGAGGACTGAGGCTGCCAGGACCGTGCCCAGGGTGAATGCCCCGCTCCAAGCCGCCCCGTTCCATCAACGGGGTTTCCGCTTAGGGGGTGAGGTGGAGTTGGCGCGTGGTCCGGCACGGTCCGGGGCCAGACAAAGGTGAGATGGAGGGGAGAAAGAAAAAAAAAGACTGGAGAAATTTTAGAAGAGACGTGGTAATTCTTCCGCTGTGTTTCACGGCAACTCTTTGTGAATCCATACACGATATCTGAATTTGTCCCTGCGCTGTTAGGTTAGAGAGAACACAAGTAACTAATTTATTTGCCTGAATATCCATACGAATGGCCTAATTTTGCTCTGGTTTCTCACTGCAGCCAGCAGAACACACCGGGTGTCACGCAGACAGGGATGCTGTTAGCGGGACGCGTGTCTGCCTTCGTCGGAGATGGCATTGAACCCCCAAGCTGACCTCAGCGTGGGAAGCGCGGTGACTCGCCTGTCCCGGCTCGGCTGGTGGGCCCGCTCCTCCTCGCCTGGGCGGCACGCAGCAGAGCTCCAATTTATCCAGCAGCTGCTGTGCTTGCTTCGGTTTTGTGTCAGCCGCCCTCCAGCTCCTCCTCGGGCTTCCAAAGTTGTATTTCTGCCTTAGTTTCTCAGCTCAAGCAAATCACTTGCACCTCTGACCCCCCCATCTTTCTAATTTGCTCTGCTCGAGCTTAATTGCTGCCATTACAGAATCACAGAATAGTAGGGGTTGGAAGGGACCTCTGTGGGTCATCTAGTCCAACCCCCTGCCGAAGCAGGGTCACCTACAGTAGGCTGTAGAGGACAACCTGTTGCTCCTCCTCTGCTGGAATATATTTACGCGACTTCAGGCAAGCCCGATTTTCAGTAAGTGATGATCATGCCGTCACCAGGTGAGCTGCCCCCCCACCACTGCCTGTCTCGGCTCCGTTTTCCTCCTGGACTCTCTGCAGGCTCCTGCCTTTCTGTCTCTGAAAGCAGAGCCACGACTCTGCTCGCAGCGAGCTCAGCGAGGGCGGAACCCCAAGGGCTGCTCGCAGAGGTCAGGAGCGCTTCCGAGCCAGCCTTGGCCACGACTCCCGGGCCTCGTGCTGCTCACAGGGGGCTCGGTCCCAGGCTCCTGCCTTTCTGTCTCTGAAAGCAGAGCCACGACTCTGCTCGCAGCGAGCTCAGCGAGGGCGGAACCCCAAGGGCTGCTCGCAGAGGTCAGGAGCGCTTCCGAGCCAGCCTTGGCCACGACTCCCGGGCCTCGTGCTGCTCACAGGGGGCTCGGTCCTTCCGGGCTCCCCAGTTCAAGAGAGATGAGGAGCTACTGGAGAGAGTCCAGCGGAGGGCTACAAGGATGATGAGGGGACTGAAGCATCTCTCCTACAAGGAGAGGCTGAAGGAGCTGGGCTTGTTCAGCCTGGAGAAGAGAAGGCTGAGAGGGGGACCTAATACATACTTACAAATATCTGCAGGGTGGGTGTCAGGAGGATGGGGCCAGACTCTTTCCAGTGGTGCCCAGGGACAGGACAAGGGGC